GTTTTCAGCAAGTTCGCAGAGTGTTGACTAATAAGTTTGGTGCAGTATTTTCCGATGTACTGCTCACTTTCATCTCAAAAGTATTTAGAAGACCACGACTGAAAGAGCTACCGCAGTGGACCGGTAATGTCAGAGGTGAAGTAGCTTTTCCTAACGTCTTAACAAACCTCTTTAGAGATCATATTTTTCATCCGAAACAATGAAGATGAAAGGAAAAGATTTGAAGGAAAACAGGCAAAAGTTGAAAGTACTTTAAAGCATTGAATCAATCAAATCTCACTGCGAGACAGCATGGGAGGTCTCCTTCTCCTCCACCCACCCACTGCCAGAGGTGTGAGTGGGGATTTGGTGAACTCTCCCCTAACCCCCTTCCCTCCCCTGTTCATCATCCCCCTCCCCAGGGTGTAGCTGCTGCGCTCCCCCTCAACAAGCTCCCATCCATCACTCCTTAGATTTCACTTTAATAGGTGGTCCTCTTCCTCCTCTCACACGGCCTTATGGGAAAATTTAAGGAGAACAAGACAGCAAAGGGTGAAGACAAGAAGTGTGGACTGTTGAAAATGTTTTTATACCCTCACACTTTGCTGTCAATAATGGAGAGTATGAGTTTATACTGACACTAACAGGACAGTGATAGAGGCTTTATTAACTTTACTGTCCAAACAAAACATTTAACTTTTCAGCACTTTGCTGTTTTAATAACTGTTCCACTTTTTTTAGAATTTTTCTTTCAAGAATAAATAACTTTTTAGCTTTAAAGACAGGATTGTTCTCAAGTTGTATAAAACAATGTTTTTTAACATTTGAGTGGCTTTTAAGATTTTTTTTTTGTACATGAGATATGACGTGATCCAAATTTGTACGAGCAAGAAAAATAAATTGAATTTAACAAGTAAATATGCTGACTGAAATAAAGAAAAATAAGTAAGTATTTAAAGACATATCTATACTTTCATTTTTAAAAAGTTTTGATTGTCTACGCTGTAAGTTCATTCTTACTGTGGCAGTATTTGGGAGAAGTTAGATGACAGAGGAGTAGAGATTGAGGACTTAAAGATAATGTAGATTTTGACAATGGTTGTTATATTACAAGAAGAAAAAAACATAGCTTGAAGAGTAAAGAGTGTAAGGGCAAAAAGTTGTAAAATGGTGAAAAAGTCATTTATCAATCGGTAAAAATCTTGAATTACTTCTTAAGTCCTAATCTTATGAGAGATAAGTTGTAATTACATTTAAAAGAAGTTCTTATCACAGTTATTCAGCCAATTCTTCCTGTGATCTACACAAACGTTGGCTTTTTACTTCCCAATATTCAGAATGCTCCTTATTAACAAAAGTGGATGCTGCTCTTTTGGCCTTTACTTTTAAAATAAAGCATAGTCCTACCATTGTTTAAAATTATGTGTTTTTATCTCATAAGTTCAGTCTTTTTTTCCTGTAATTTTACAACTGTGGTCTTGAAATTTTCCTCTTTCTAATGTGGCCCAAATACTTTTTCAGGGTGTCGGTCAGAAACACCCAAATAGAGATATTTTAGTTCTCTGTGCACCTGCAGAATGACACCCATAATGCTTTGTTTTTTGTTATCCACATCCATGGTTCAGAGGAGCAATCACGTGATCCGGCATGCTGTGCGAGTGCGCCGGAGCCGAGCGGTACCCCCCTTCCCTAACCAGTCAAACAGAAGGCAGGTTGGTTGATATTTAAATGGCCTCTGTTTGTTTTCCTTCATGTCCCATGTGTGCATGTGAGCCTAGTATAAAGGCCCGTGTCCTTTTGAAGGGGGATCACACCAGGAAAGTGAGGGGGAAGGAAACCTGGCTTTGGTGTTTTATATATCGACAGGAATGACTTCCCTCAAATAAAGACGTGCTCCTTTTCTGCTGCTCTGGCTGGAACAAGCAGCTTGTTTCCTGTCCTGAAAACTCGCGGCGTGCTCGAACAATGCGCTCGATCAGAGTACAGGAGATGTCATGTCTTGAAAATCTGGTGTCGTTTTTTGTTTTTTTTTCTTTTTGTTTGACCGCAGGTTCAGACTGAATCGCATGTTTACAGTATTTGTGACATTTGAATGAACCGACTCGATTGTACCATTTGGATTCATATAAATTCTGAACAATAGACAGAAGCTTTTGAACCATCATGCAGAACAAAAGGCTGAGATGAAAGTGTTTCCTCTGAGGCTGTAAAACCTCTTTAAACTCACTATTTCAGCCATAAATGGTGGCCATACCATTAATCTGACCATGTGGGTTGAAACCCCTCCGATGAATGAATCCCAGTTGAATTAATCCTCCTCTAAATGCTCGCATTTCTACGTGCTGCCATGTCCTTGGTACAGACAAAGGCTTCTCTTCTTCTGCCTCCCTCCGTAGGGAGCTCACCATGTCGAGTTTCTCACTCGCCGCTGCCCCCTCATCAAATTACAGCCCTGCTCCCTCCTGTCATGTTGGCAAACAAAGGTCTTAAAGCGCACTCCCAGTGTAATTGCCTCTAATCTCAGACATAATGTGCTCTTTCATGTCAACTGGTCGCAGAGAAAAGGGAGCTGTTGTTCTGTCTGCCCCTTTTTTTTCACCCACTTTCACTCTGAGGAGCACGCTTTAACGCTCTGCTTTCTTTTCCCTCCCGAAGAGGAAGACGACTTTTATTGTGACACAGTGTAAACATTTTGACAATTTAAAAGTCGCTAGAATTGACTCTGGAACCATAAGACTTTCCTAATAGTCCTCTACCTCCAAAGGCGTGGTGCCATGATTAAAATAAACACCATAAAGTTCAGAGAAACTCGTATGGTGGTGCAGTAGTCCTCCTCCACCTTTGGCCTGGTTTCTCTCCGCGGTGAGCATCAGGCAGTCTGCAGCTGGAAGTGTTTCTGCGGTTTGGCCAGGTGTCTCTCTGCCCTGCCTGGGACAGAGGCCTCAGCGGGGCCTGGGACTGGAGTGTGGGAGCTGTAGGCTGGAGGCTGGCTGCCCCTCCGTGATCTGAAATGTCCCGCAGACCCACCTGACTGGTGGTCAGCTGTAACTGATCCAACAGGATAGCAGCGCCGGAGGGGGAAGAGAGAAAATTAAGATGTGTGTGAGCGGGAGAGTGCAGGGAAGAGACATGGAAAGAAAAGGGGAGAGGGGGAATAATGGAAATGTTGGACAAATTCTCCATCTGAGGAGGCCTTTTGGTTAGAAATATAGACCTCAATATGGTTTCCAGGGGCTTTGGCAAGCAAAGATGAACATATTGAGTAAAAAACACAGTATCTGATATCTGCGCTGGGTTGAGGGTGAGGAGAGAGAGAGTGCAGGGTAAGAGGAGATGCAGTGTTTCTAAAACATTCAGCTGGGGCTTTTTTAAGGGACCCAGCTGTGCACCCTGGAGGTCCTGCAGCTCCAACTGTGGCACAGAAATCAGCGCGGTGAGGCCAGACTGCAGCCCTTACAGCCTGGTTAGCCATGACCTGATGTTCCAGGAGCCTCAGTGAATTGATGGGCCCCAGGGGAGTCATCATAAGGGCCCTCGAAACAATCAGCCATTCATGCCTACAGCCGAGGCACGAGGGCAAACGCTCTGCACCATCAGAAATGCTGAAAAAGCTGTTTCTGAATTATAATTTCTCTCTTCTCTATCCTCAGATGTGTTATTTTTGGCCCCTTAACTTAAAAAAAGAAGAAAATAAATCAAGATTTTGCAACAAAATGTGTCCTCAAATATCAGACAGATAGAAAACCCCTCTTGGTTGTGAAATTCTGTGCAGATCCAGAAAAAAAGTGTTAGTCTCCTGCGAATGTGGGCAGAATATTTTTGGATAATGTGGCTGAACTGGCGAGATCCCATCACGCCTCATCTGCCAGGTCTACACTCTGCTGTTACATAAGACATCTGAGCCAGCCCAGACATCTAGACTAGTCCTTATGTGGACAAAAAATGGGTGTGTTCACGACGTCCCCCTCGCCTAAATCCATTTACCATGACTAAATCAACCAAACCTTTCCCCAGAGCTGCCTCAAAGATTAGAGGCCCAGAGGTCAGCTGCACATCAGTTACATTTTTCTGCAAGTTACCGGACAGTTATTTATAGAGCAAGGACAAATATACAATGGAAGGAGGGCAGTGGTTTGGTTTTGGGGTAAGAGGCACGTTTTAAGCCCAGACACATCTGTCCTTTCAAAGACATCTCCGCCTTGGTATGATCAGAATCCACTGCAGGGGTGACAGAGCTGCTGCGCTGAGAGTCACCGAGCTGGCACGCTTTATTTAAAACAGAGGGGAGGGAGGAGGGAGTGAAGGGCATCATCTAAGCCTGATCTACTTTGAGGGCATGTTGGAAAAGTCACCTGACTCTATGATGAAAACAAGCATTATTTCTGTATCTGAAAAATCTGGATTATGGTAAAGCATAGAAACCTCACAGATTAAATGGAGACGTTGCCTTGAAAGAAACAATGCTTTAGATTTTATCTTGACCTTAATAAATAAATGAGCCCATAATTTGCCATGTGAATTTGATTATTCCTTGATGAGTATGTGGTTTAGGTAATAAATTACATATAGTAGCTTTAGTCTCTAAAAGTGGAAAGGAGAAAACAAGGTTGTTTAACAGCAACTGGTGTGACAACAATACTCATTGAGTTGGACAACAAGGAATGAGCGCATGTGCAGTTTTCCCCTCAGATAGTCACTTCTCCTCAGGACAGGGTCAGACCAGAGGAGTTGTAAATCAGTGCGTATGTGAACATATGTATATGTGCATATGTGTACGTACTTGTGTGTGTGTTTGTGTGAGCGTGACGCAGTCTCTGTTTAGTCTTGTCTGCGTCAGAGATGCTTCGTCACACTCTTGTAAATTCAGCCAGGCCAACACTCTCACCCTGACCTTTCACTACGTGTGTGTGTCTGATTCTCGCTGACATACAGGGAAACAAACACATAAATACCCCCTCCTCACACACACATACACACAAATACACACATACATACACACATAAAGGAAAATCACCTGAAAGATATAAATAGAGCACTTTCATTTATTCTGACTTCTGGAATTATAACACAACACAATATTAATAATTTGATGTGTTTTTTTTAAACATAAGATAAAAAAAATATCACAATATATTAACAGGAGGAGTCAAATATAATTCAGCATTAAAAATATTATAACTTACTGTTTGGTCAAATAATTTCTCATTAATCTAGATTTTTTAATTATCCTTGCAGCACAACTCTAAAATCTGTTGCAATAGAAAATAAAGCTTTTGTAATTGAATACAACAGTTTATTTTCTTGTATGTAAATTGCAGTAAATTATTTATTCTTGCTTCTTTTTTCACTGCGGGGTTTTGTGTGTTTTCTAACAAAAGAAAAACTGCAGCAAATACTTAATTGAATGAGAGGATTTTTTTCTCTTCCTGTGGGGCTGCTGTGTTTTACTTTCTCAGCCATGCGTCACAGAGCTGTAAGGAAACTTTGAGGATGAACAGCAGACTAAATAAACTCACTGAAAGCAGAAATATCACAAAGCTACGCCGGCTGAGAGATGTATGTGCTTTGGTTTCTAAAATGTCCTCTATTATTTAGCTCTCTCTATTGAAAACAAATGTTTATTGTTTATTCGGTATGAAGCAGAGCAAGAATGTTTCCAAATTGATGACACATCATTTGTTAGGATTTTCAGCACCATGCATTACAAAATTACACAAACCAAGGACAAAACCTCTACATTTGAATTTGTTCTACAAATACCATTTTGTTAAAAAATAATAACTAATATGTCTGACTAAGTTTTGAGGATATCTAGGATTTTATTATTTTATAATGCTCTATAATAATAATGTAATTTCTGTCTCAGGAGGAGGATCAAACTTCTTTTTATTTTCAATTTTAAATGAAAGAGAAAAAAGGTTAGACTGTATGTTTGTCACTTTTTTTATTTTTTTGTTTTTGATAATTTTATAATTTTTTACTGCTGATGATTCCTAATTAAAAAAATCAACAAAGGGAAGTTTTCCATTATCAGTCAATGAGGATAACAAACAACGTCATAATTATCCACGTCTCATTACGTTGCGTCTATTTTGATTGGCTGATCAAAACCCTTAGTTTTTCGTTGGATTTGCGATTTTTTAAAAATTCAATATTGATTTACGATGTGACTAACACGACCATTGATTTGCCATTTTACGTACAAAATGTTCGGTACAGGAGTAGATAAAATTCGTTAAAAAAATTCCACATAAATATAAACAAATTGGAAGTGATTAAATTGTGATCTGCTTCGCTGTATGATCGACCGTCCCTCGTGGGCCCCTCTTAGACACGGTCACCTCCTTCCTCTGTCTCGTGCAGCGGCGCGAGCTGACGTCAAAAATCCCCTGAGATCAATAAACTGTATCGACACGGTGAATCCGCTGATCAGCGTCAGACTTGCGGGACTCCTCTGCAAATATTCACTCACAGTCAAGAGTCCGGTCTGACTTCTGCAGAGAGAGATACACGCAACAACGTGTACGCTCCGGAAACGTTCTCATGATGATGTTTAGACTGCAAAGACACAAACACAAAAAAATTATAGACACGTATTTAAATTTAAATAAAATAAATAAATGATTGAACAGAAAATATGTAGAATTTATTTAACAAAATTGCTTGACGAGTTAGGCCTCCAATAAGCTGCATTCAATAGCCAGAATAATTCAAAATTGAAATTCAGGATAATGAAAATCTGCACACATCAGGAGTTGTTTTTGTGCTGTTTAATGCAAAATTATCAGCAGAGGAGAAAATATTCCCCCTTTTGTTTCAACATAAAAGAACATCCCAAGCAAAGTCAGGGTTAATAGTTCTCATTAAATCCAATCACGTACTGATCACTCAGACAGTACATCCTGTTCATGTTAAAAAATTACACAAGGCTTTCTGAGGGGTCACAAATGCAATGCTTACAATGTTTCTCTGGATTGTGCCTTTAATTTAATAAATAACAATAAGCTGTTATTTGTTTAATTTTATTATTCAGCAATTACAAAAATAAGATTGTGATTTCTATAGTATCAAAACATGCAGAATATAATCTATATTTATTTTAATAAGAATAATGATAATAAATAATAAACTTGATTTATATGGTACTTTCAAAACAGGGTTACAAAGTGCTTATTAAACAAGTCTTATTCAGAAAACTGGTGTAAAATAGATGATAATTACTCAAAGGTATGTATTAAATGAAAGGTCTTAGATATATTTTATTATGTGTTTTTGTATAATAAAAGTTCAGCATAGATGTCAAACGCCTAAGCATGGATAAATCTCTCTATAATTACATTGTAAGAGCAGAGGAAGCTGTAGGCTTGAACCCCGTCATTTAGGCGGCATTAAATAAACACAGGCCCCATCAGCGTCAGATATGCCCTCACACAGACGCACTGTAAATAATGACTTTCATGGCCCTGGGCTAAAAAAAAAAAAAAAAAAAAACAGGGTCATGATCAGGGTACTAACAGAACAGTGGGACTTATGAAAACTGATATTTAAAATGGGTTAAATAGCAGAACATCACTTGAGTGTGTCATTATTAGTAATTCAACCCTCTATAAAACAGTAAAATCACTCCTACAGCGTGACACTGTAAATAAAAAAAAGGATTATTCAGCCCGGAGAAATATGTGGAAGTAACTTGTTGTTTCTTGTCCAGCGAAACAACAAATGAATGATGGCAGCTGCTCTCTTACAACAAACACAACTCGGTGTAACATTTGGATAAGAAATATCGTAATGGACGCGGGGAGTAATGTGTTGTTCATGGAGAGGTTTGCAGGATTTCCACACAACTGAAATGTGATATCTAACAGCTCATGTCATGGAATTTCTGTTCTTCATGTGCCCCGGCTCGCCTCTGATACCGAGCCAAGAGCTGTCTCTGTGGAGATGTGCTTTACTCAGGGATTACACTGATTCAATGACAAACAATTATTGTGAGGGAATCTCAGATTATGAGCTTTAAATTGTGGGACAAAGTGTCAGATTGGGATGTCAATGTTGGCATGATTTTTAAATATTCGAGTTTGTTGTGTCTCTATAAAGTTGAATACACATATTTTTGATATATAGTTGTTTGATAATTTAATCTATTTCATATCTTTTAGTTACGAAATTCAAATAAATTTACATTTTATTCAAACGAGGTTTGAACCTAAAATTTTAACTTAACTGCAGGTTTTATCATAGCAAGAAAAATGATTTAACACTTAAAATTTTTCCAACCATGAAAGCTCAGAAGCGCAGACATCAGACGCCCCTGTTCCACTCTAGTACATCCTAGAAATTTAGGTTGACCCTGAGGTCAATATCAACATTGTTTTAGTGTGTCCTTATGTGGGTGGACAGTGTGAAACATTTTTAATTTGAAATAATAAAAAAAAGGCCTAAATTAAAAAACAAAAAACTTTGTCTACATTTGCATACAATCAAATGATAAAATAAGAAACAGCTTTAAATATTTGTTGCATTATTTTGTCAAATTATTATCACCAAGTGCAGTGTGGCTTGTTTCAAATATTCCATCCTCTAATGGTCTGAACTTTGCAACGTACCAAATATTTAGAGTAATAGCTGGTAACTGTGCTATCCCGACCACTACGAGCTGTCACTCTCTGCTCTGCTGCTAATTAAAAAGGCCCCGGTGCTTTATTTGTTTGCACACACTCTGAAGGCAGACTGGAACAGTCAGGCGTGGGGGCATGACAGGCACGCCATGCCCCCTTAAATCACTCCCCTGTGCCAAAATCGCTGACACCACGAAAGGATCCTGACAAAACATTCCTGGTGTCCCCAGTGTGGGATAGAGAAACGCAGAGAGAAGAAATCAGGACGGGGGACTCTTCTCTTCGTCATTCCTCTAATATCCTCTCAGCTTCAGTCATTTTTTTTCAGATTAACCCACATTTTTGTCTTACACACCCATTTAAAGTTGACATGATATTGTGACTTACCGTATTGCTTCAGGCTTGCACCTTTTCCCCTTATTCTCATCCTTTTCAGTCTGCTTGTTTTACAGTCTCGTGTGTCACTGCTGTTGTCCTCAAAATGTCTTTGCTACCATCTGAAATCTGGACGTTGTGAGAAGTGACACAAAGATGGAGCTGGCATGGAATAAAAGACATTTTAATTGTGTAGGACCCTGCAGGGCATCAGATGCTGGGGCCTCATGGCTGTCTGCTGCCACCTGTCTGTTTGTGGGGGGATTGCTTCAGAGTGTGCCTTGCAGAATGTGCTGAGTAATGCTTTAGGGGTTGTGACAAAAATAACTCAATTCATATCAAAAACTTTTTAGAAAAGCAAAAGACAGACACAAAAATTTCTTACTTTAAACGCAGGGTTTGCTTTAAGATTGTAAAAACTGTGTTACACTTCAAATATTAGGTGATTAAATGTCCACAATTGGACCAGCTCTCTAGAGGGCAGCAGTAAAAATTTCCTTAATACTGACTCAATCTCTGGAAAGACTGTTTGGAAAGAGAAATGCCTGTTTTGCATGACTTTACAGCCCAACAGGAAGTCATCGCAACTTTAAACATAAATAGCAATCAGGCCACGAGTAAACCAATCAGCAGCTTTGCTTCCAAATATGCACCAATCAATTAGTGAATGGGTTTCCTTCCAAATTAACCGACCAAATCAAAGCATCTCAGGAAACACGTTACGGGTAATCTACAGTTTGTTTTGCTGAAATGCAGACCCTCTGGTACGATGCACTCTCACTTTCTGGACTTTTTAATGCAGCAGAGATTGTGCAGATTGTAAACAATATCTGATCGCCTCTACTTCATCAGTGCCCTTTCTTTAACTGTAAAAGACCGTTCCCCTTCCCAGCAGGCTGTTAAAAGACAGCCTCTTGGCCTCATTTGTACTCCAGCCGCACTCGCACAGCTGCCTCCCAGCCTACAACTGGAGCTCCATCACCTGCATCCAGCTGCAAACCACAAACAGATTGTAGCTTTCCCCCGGAGGCGTATTTTGTACAGTCAGACCATCATCTGCACAGAAGATGAAGAGGCAGAGTAAAGCCGGCCTCTTTTGCCCATCAATGAAGGACAGTGTGCACGGGTCCAAGGGGTTAGTGCCAGTGATGACTGATACAGTAGTAGCTACGAACGTTGTCTGAGCATGTGACAACATTTCCCAAACCACTAAACATTGAAAACAGACCAACGAGGAGGCAACATGTTGCATTGATTTAGACATTTGACAAATAGCTCTGGAATGAGTATCCCCATCCAGCCATTTGTAAGTGGTTGCCATATAAGTAGTGGATAAAAGGAAACAAGGACTCTTATTTTAAGAACAGGAAATGAGACAATGACAGCAGACAAACTTATCACATATTGAGATGTCTGCGGTATCAGTGGTGGGATATTCTCCCTGTATGGTGCCTTTTATGTCTCTCCTTGTGGAAATCATCTCATTCAGAATATTTTAACCGCATCTGGTGCACTGCTGTGAGTTAGTGTCCACGTGTTTACAGTGCTGGATCATACTGTATGATATAGAGTATTTCTCCCAAGAAATTCAACCTTAAATTACCATTCCCATTCCCACTTTAGTTTTTCTTACCGGAACTTCTGCTGTGTGTCTTTGCTTGTGTGTTTTGTTGAATCTTTATTTGCATTATAAGAAATCGCTTTAGTTGAGTGGTTAAGGACTGAAAAACAGGTGTAAACATATTCCTATCTGAACTCTAAATCTTTACTTGACACTCCGCTCTGAAGCTGAGACTGGACTGCAATTAAGTAAATTCACACAGTTGCCATTTTCTTTTGTTGTCACACTTCAAGTCATGTTGTCCAAGTGGACCATGCTGTTATAACATCTTACCTGATCCAGGTTTGTTGGGAAATTGTCGCATATCTGGTAACTGTTATCATTGAACTCATTTTTGATTACTGACCTAGTATAACGATAATGGATGGTTAAAAAAATGTAGGGGTTTGGAACATTCAGGAAATTACCACATAGGCTTAAATAACTGATAAGCTAGATGGTTAATTCTGACAGCTTAGTGCCAAAGAGATATGATAATAATGTATAAATGTAGTGATGGCCTACAAGCAAGAAATGTGCACCTTTTGATGGTTTGTTGTATGTCTCTTAAGCACATGCATGCTCACCTCCATGGCCGATTGAAAACAACTGAGACCCTAAAGTGCAGAAGACTCCTTTCAGTGGTTTAAACTCAGTGTCGTCTTTGCTTCCCATTGTGTATTGTGACTTTTTCTTTTTTTGTCGGTTCATCCACAGTTTTATTCATACTTGTGGGCCACAAAAAGCCACCACTAACTGCGTCAGTCTAGGATCAGGATCTAGGATCAGAAACATGTTGTCATGTGATTGCAGAAAACAAACAGGACGTGTGCCATTGGGTCGCACCAATTAAGAATTACAGAATGTTGCAGCTTGTACTGGACTGTTAGCAAACCTATTCCTAACATATCATTGATGAGTACGATGTCTTTAACTTTACAGTCGTGAATGCTATATGTTTGTTTCAAAGTTGGTTTACACATCTACCCTTGAATATGCTTGAACACCCGATTTACCTTACTCTACGTTTTGCTATCAAGGCCCACAGGTCATGAAAATACGATCATCGCCGTCCATTTGGTTTTCCTGAAAAGTCACAAATGTGGAGCTCCTGTCGGTGAGAGCAGCATAGTTGAGAAAACATGATTACTCACGATGGCAACGGCTTAAAACAGCACATGTAAGCAAAAGAATAAAATCATCCTGTTAAATGTTGCATATAATGACTCCACGACTATATTTGTAAATGACATGGGACAAATGCAGCCATTCGCCTCCCAACCACAACCCTTCTTTTTTTTTTTTTTTTGTTGGTCCTACAGAGTCAGAATAACTCACCGCTGTCGAGAAGTGTAACAGAAGAGCCAAACACTGCAGGGTCAGAGTTTTTAGGTTACTCAGGGATTTCAATAACTGGAAGTCAGAGTTGTGTTGCGACACTGCAACAAGAGCAGTAAGTGTGTTTGAAATACACAAGAGCCTGAATGTGAAGACAACAGAGTTTATGCCATAAACTAATGACAATCATGCTCTCTTTGGGTGATGCACTGTCATTGATTATCTGCTTTTCCAACTTCATGATTTCAAAGTATATCACTGTTCAACATTTACTCAACTTTGGTTTGTGTAGTTTCCTTGGTCACCAGTGTAAAGAATAGCTCTTGTGATTTTGTGTGTGAGTGATCATAGGGAGGAAACACGTTATGATTAATAACTGATGCATGCAGGCAGAGCGAAATGAGTTTGTGAATGCATGCAAGGCGAGTTGTGCTGTTGGCAACAATAATGTTTGACGCATTACATGAGGAGTGCGCTTGATAATTTAAGAGGATATGTTGAAAAGGTTGGATGAAACTTGTATTCTTGGTTTTATGTCTGAAGTATTTCTCCCTGTCATTCAGTATTTAGAAAAAATAAGGAAGAATTCATGTTAACAATCCCCAAAAACATGATTTATGGCATTTATGCTCCACAATTTTGCATGCTTTGTTTTGCACAAAAAGAAAAATCTCCTCATTAAAAAAATATTCATTTCTTTTTCAATCCCACTTTGGACTGCTGGGCTCAAGATGTGTCCTGCTGCAGTCCAAAAATTTGTTTCTGGGTAGTGTGCTGATGTGCAGTAGAGGCTTCAAATTTCACATGTTGTGTAACTTGCATATTGGACCACTTCTACGCAGTAATGCTCTAAATAACCAACTAAAAATCAGCTGAACACACAAAATACTGTTTAATCTTTCACCTAATTTGACCGGCAGTCCTATTTTTGTCACAAACGTACACAAACAGCCTCAAACAGGATCAGAGTCTGGTTCTTAAAGTATTAAGTTTTATTGTAAACTATAAAAATCATTGGATAACAGACCAAACACGTGAAAAGGGTTGCATTACTCTAACTGAACTGTGAAGTTTGACCATGTGCCATGAAGAGGATTTGACTAAAGCAGGTTATAGGTCCTAAGAGATAAAAGTTGGAGGTGTGAAAAACTCTGATTTGTTGATAAAAACACCCCTTGACTTAATCTTCCTCTCCCATCCATTCCTACTGATAAGACTAGCTGTTGCTCCCCTCCCACGCCCCTGGTTGTATTCAGGTGGAGCTTCTGTTTGACGCCACAGGGCCAAGATCCTAACCTTACTGACCTTTTTTTTTAATAACTCTGTGACCCAGAGGCCCCAGACAGTACGCCTGGCCGCCTGCTCTGCTTTTATGAAGGCTTTTCCGGTTCATCACTGTACGCATTGTGCCAAAAAGATGGCAACTATCAAAAGAGACGGAGGGCCTGAGGTGAGAAAGGTCAAAGAAACGTACAAACAAAGGGAGAAACAGGAGATAAGGTGTCAGACAAAGAGATAGCGAAAACAGCGGAGTGAAGAACGTGTTATCGCCGTCACTGATTCAGGTCAGAGGGGTGTGAGACATGAGTTGGCAGAGCTAAGAGCAGGGGCTTGTTGGAATATGTGTGGGGCCATAGGAAGTGCTGTGTGGAGAAGATAACAGTGTGTGAGTGAGTGTGTGTGTGTTTGTGTGTATGGTTGTGGAGGTGAGAGGAGGGAGAGAGGTGGTGGTGGTGGTGGTGGGGGGTGAGAGAGAAACGGTGTCCTCAGCCCTGCCCCGCTTTCCTCTATTCACTGCCCGTATCCTGTCTGTGTGCTGCTCCCTAATGGCTTTTAATGAGCCACCGGTGGATCCCACCATTTCCTGCCTTCACACAACATGCCAGCCAGAGCGCCAGTGAAAGGAAGAGAGAGTTAACTGGGTTGAAATAGCAACATGACTGACTGCCTCCAGGGGTGGGCATTTATTGTTTGCAACAGGTCCATAAAGAACAACCAACATAGTGATACACAACAACGCATCCTGGTCTGATGCTGGGTGTCCTCCCAGCTCAATTCAGCTCTTCCTTCGTGTGCTCTCTGTGCTGGGTTTTGCTGGTCTAATGAAGTTTCCTCGTTTTTCCTGGTTGGTCAAGTCAGAAGCTAGAAGTAGTGCTGCAACTAACGATTATTTTTTTGTCGACTAGTCGTCCGACTATTCGTCCGATTAATCACGATTAATCACTATCTTCTTTATTTATAAACACCTATTTCTGGGGTGTCGGCGTTTCAGGTGCTCATACATCGCCGTGGTGCTGCCATGGTAGGAAAGCTGAGCTTTGATCGACGTGTTCTTTTGGTTTGTTCTCCGTAAAATGTTCCCAAACTTTTGAAGTTTTGGGTCGGAGTTTTGGAGCGTCTTTTTCAGTTTGTTCTGCCATAATGTGTGCACTCCTCTTCTGTGTTTGCTCGCGGGATGTAAACAGCGAGCGCTACTGCCCCCAGCACATCCTGTAGTGGACTGTAGTTATAGATGAGCATGAGGCGCCGGCATGTGATTCTTAACAACAATAACACGACGCGTCGACGCTTCGTTTTCGTGTCGATGAATTTGTTGAGTCGACGTAATCGATTACGTCGACTAATCGTTGCAGCCCTAGCTAGAAGCAAAAAAGGAAAAATGCAATCCTGGAAGTCATCAGCTGACCATCATCTTGCCAAAGACGTCAATATAGAGAAGTTGTTTGAAGCTCATAGTCCTGCTAATGCTGGTTTTAACCGCTTTGACGCTTGACTATGCCGGTCTTACCAGCAGTGTTGCCTTGTAGCAGGGCTATCTCAGCAGTAAAAACAAGGCCGATGATAAGTTTAGCACGAATTTTCATATTGCTCACAGTACAGGGTGTAACACTGAGCAAGATGGTTATTGGCTTTGATGCTTGTAACCTGCTGACCTGTTAAGCAAACCCACACAAATCAAGTGTTTTCTATTTCACCCTTTTTTTCATGATGTGCAGCAGTATTTTTGCAGAGCTAGAGAGTTTATTAAGAACTTTTAAGACCAGCCTTATAATGCAGATTGAATTAGACAGGCATACAAACAGCTGTGGAAAGTGTAATGACACATAAAATGGCTTTTATCTGAAGCAGAAATGACACTTCATTCAATGTAATCAGGCTAATTTACTGAGAAGTCTTGTTGGGAAGATGGACAAGGCGGTTGGTTAGCCAAACTAACTGGAGCTGGACTCTAGCCAACTTGACACTGAATCATGTTATCTGTACTCATCGACACGCTGTCACTCCTCTTTGGCCTCAAAAACACTGTAGCACGAAAAACTTCACAATGAAACACGGGTATGTTGTGTTGTTTGGCTCAGCACAAAAGCACTGTAAGGGTGAAGCCTCCCTCTTGCAAAATTGCGGGGCAAAATTGGTTACAGTCTGTCATGACAATTTTCAATGTCTCAAATTTTGAGCTAATAAGCAACCTCAGGGGACCTAGTTTCCTTCCTCAGTTTTTGTGCACTTTGTACTATTTCCTGGATAAATGTTATTTGCAATATCTTTTAGGAAAAAACAACATAGAAGTGAGCGAACAGACTAGATCGGTCACACATGTACAGAAAAAGAGCATGAAACCTTTATTAATGCTCTCTTAATGTATATGTCCCTCTCGGGTGTCTCCTTCTCCACTCGTGGCTGGCAGGAATCCATGGCTCGGAGTTGTGTCCCATCATTGTGATAGATGACAGGTGAGAGAGTCTCTATGATCCCTCTGACACTCTGTAATCAAGTTAAGAAGGCTGGATTAGAGGCTCCTTTTGAAAAGGGCTGAGGTCAGTGCTCCATTCTGCCTGGTGCATAGTTCCACAGAGCAAGAAAAGGCCTGACATTGATTGAAGGAATGTGTGTGCATGAGACACAGAGATAGACGGAGGAGAGCAAAGACAGAGACAGATATAGCGCCCGTGGAGGAGATAGTGCGAGGCTTTGAAGGTGTTCTTAGGTAAGGATTGAAAACAAAGCTTGCAAATTGGACCATTTGCTCTTTAGTGTCAGATTTTATCAGCTGTAGTGTGCTAACATAGCCTGAGCTAATGCTCACGAGAAAAACTCGCAGGTTGGAAGGCTCGATCAGTGGGTTGAAAATTGTGTGTCCAGCTGAATTGTGAGCTTGCAAAAGAGTCTAAAATGTGCAGCTGCTCATATTTATTGGCTTAAATCCTGGTCTGAGCAAATCGAAACAATCAGAATCCATGACCCCATAGAGTGTGGAAAACTTCTTGTAAATCTTATTCTTTGACAGTATAGCATAACTTTTACATAAACTGAGATACTTACACTGTTTGATACTGCTGGGTGTAAATTTTGCATAACAAAGTGAAAAGCAGAGGAATGCCCAGCCAGGGTATGAGGCAGGACATCTATTGCTGTCCTGGAGGGCCAATCACCATCTGCCTTGGATAGAGCAATCAGCATGAGATCCCATTTCTGACACCAAGTTTGTTTTGGAAATTGTCCTGTTTCCCTTCTACAGTAGAGTTCAATAACAGAGTTCACAAAAGGACCTCAAGTCAAACAGTTGTCTTTGTGTATTTTATTATATTCTTGCAAATATAGAAAGATAGCACAGAGCAAGTATTGTAAGACAGCTGCAAGGTGCAGTCTTAGGCGTGTTCCTATTTTATTTTACACTACGTCAAACTGACAAAACTCAGTGTTCATACAAGGACTCTCAGTATTATTCCCATCTCAATCCTCACTACTGAGGGCTTCCCCAGCGGTCTGTTTTGGGTCCTCAACTACTTACTGTGTATATGCTTTCCCTGGAGCAAATTCTTCATAAACACAGAAAGACTTTCATTGCTATGCAGATGACACCCAGCTCTACAGTATATCCTGTCTGCCACAAATTAAAAATCAGATTTATGAAATTCATATATTGACATTTTTAGTACATGAAAATGAGACTGACAACAATTTTAATTCCAGTTTCCCTTCTTTTCTTGACTCTAACCTTTTGCCTTGTTCTGTGTCTCCTGTAGTGTCCTATTTAAATTTGACAGCCCAGATGAACGGTTAAGGAGACACAGCAGTAATGGCAGTAATTCATCCTTAACTGCTAAAGAAAATCGTCATTTTTCAAGGGCTAATAATCAGGTAGTGACAGCAAAAGTCCCCCCTAAAGTTCAACCTTCCTCCTCATCATGGGAGGTAAAGAGCTTTGGATGGCCAGTGTTTACTGCTCAGGCTGTTACAATTGCCAAACCTGGTGCAACTGGGTGGGCTGAACCCCCCCAGAGTTGATAACAATGATTACAACAACATCTGCAGTGCCTACAGATATGAAAAAGCATTTATAATGTGGACAACCAATGCTTACAACAGGGATTTAAATAGGTGTGTAAGTAGGTAAGCGCCAACAAATTTATTGCCCTTTATCGTGCATCATTGTACTAAAAGCCATTCTCAAATCTCTACTTTGTATTTTAAATTCATATTTAAGTAATGTCAGGAAAAAAAAGCTTTTTAATTAAGATTTTTCAACACTCAGAATATGTCAGAATAAAATGCAACTTTTTCACCAAAACTCATCCTTTTTCTAACTCCACCACTATCACCTACATGGGAAGCTGCTCTGTAACACTGCATTGTCATGATTATGACTACAATGGGTGGATTATGTTTGAGAGCAACAAAGTGGTGTTGATAGTAAAACAACAACAGCACAGAATGAAGTTTTTAGAACTTCGAGTTAAAGTTGGTTGGTTTTTGTAGCTTTGGAGGACATACCACGTCTGGTCTGACTAGTCCAGGCCTAGCCTTCTCTGTCGGGAAACCATCAAGGACTGATGTCCTTGCTGATATTGACCTTTACGTAGCTATGTAGTGTTTTCTGATACAGAGTAAACATTTTGTTTTTTGAACCTTCAAATGCAGCACTAACTTGGAAACTTAGACAATGTAAATAAGTTTTTACACCAGCATGTTGTAAAAAAATATTAAGCATCATCCCAAAGCTCTTAGCAGCCATTAGTGTTGGATACATTTCAAGCATGTTTTCACCATGTTGAATTGTTTTTATTTCAAGATTGTATATTATACAATTACAAATGGGTATTTACATTTTGTCTCAATTATGAATGACTGTGTAACAACCAAATGGGAAGAATTTTCCTGTCAAACACCATGTTTATCATATCACATCACATATGGGTACAGTATTGTTCAGATGTAGTTTTTAAATCCCACTCTCCAATCTGATTGGTCTTGCTGTTGGCCGATTTGGAAATATGGTCATCAAAATCAGCATCTGGAAAGAAAAAATGTCATAGGAGTATCACCATTTTATGAGTGGACCAACTCGTCTTTGGTACTAGCTCGAAAACAAATGGAGCGCACACCCAGCCAAGTCTGTTGCTGTAGTGGTGACAGCAACCAACAGATGGTGGTTAGGTTAATGTTAGTCATCACGGTCATAATGGTGATGATGATGACAATAATAGCTCCAACAGCAGAAGAGGATTACAGTTGCAGGTGGGGGGATACAAGGAGGAGGAAATGTGTTTATATATATGAATGTGTGTGTCCATGCAAACACCTGAGTGTCTTGGCAACGCTCATAGGAAGGGTCTCGGCCATCGGACATCCCTGCTACAGGGTCCACTCCCTGCAAGCAGACCCCCTAATCAGTGGGAACAAAGGGGGGAGGGAGTTTAGCGACTCCAAAATAGCTTTAGGAGGAGTGGAAGGATGTAGGGAATATGAAGCAGTGACTTGGGTTGCATGTATTTGTTGTGGTGGGCTTTACAGCGCTCCTTGTAAAATCTCCTTTCTGGCATGTCTTACGGATGAAGACATCTGCTTTACTGAACACCAAGAGAGTAACGGAAGAAATAATGGGCCTGTAGATTTACCATTCTGTGTTTATCCTGTTTGATGACGCAATTCTGTTCGGTAATTGTGTGTGTATGTGTATGTAAGAACGTGCACACAGTAGGTGGTCATTACGGAGTGACAGCCCGACAAACTGTGGCTCAAGTGGTTGCATCAGCTTCCTGACCCCACATGACTCCTTGTTTTCCTGATCAAGACTTGTCATTTCTGTGCAGGATTACATCACTAATCTCAACAAGAATCCATCAGTTTCACTAAAATAATTGTCTGATTATTTTTCTCTAGAGCAAACATGCACAGAAGTGACTCTGCTTTTTGATAGATGAAACCAGAGTGAAAAACACTCCGGATTTTCACAAAAAATCCACATAAAGGACACGGGCAATCTTTCTCGTGAGTAATTCTAAGCAGACCCAGCTGTCTCCTGTGACTCTTTTTCATGATAAGTCCCTGTCCGTATGAAGAAAAGCCCATCAAATGTGAAAGATGATAAAATAGACAATAAGCGGGGGCCACCAAGTCCCCCTCCTCCCTTCTCTGGGGGCCACAGATTAGGCCTCCTGCACTTCCTTTGGAAAACAGGCAACCGGACCCAGAGGAAGCTCCTGTCAGCTGTGCTCCCTCACCTCCTTGGCCTCTCTTGCTCTACTCTTGCTCTAACTTCTAACTTTTTTTCTCTCAGTCATATTCTGTCTGTCTGGGAGATGAAACACAGGCCTTTTCGTCCACAACTTGCCACCGTACTCCACCCCGGACACCAAAAGCAGAGCCTCATCAAACTCCTGCAGCTTTTGTTTCTGCTTCATACTGTTGTGGCTGCATCTTAAATATTTTACTGTACAAAGTTTCCATCACTGCATCAACTCGACAGATGCTGTTTGTGTTTATGTGTGAGAAGGGGCTGTAATTACTGAGTAAGAGGAATCTGTGAATAGAACAGCAAAGATCCTGCTGAGATTACCCCGCGTTGAGTGCCAGGGCAGGACGATGAAAGAATGAAGGGTGGAGGTGGGGTCAGGTGGTTTAACAGTGATTGAGCAGTGGACCCTCCCTTGCCTACAGAGCCAAATCACTGCTAAAATCATCAGACGGATGATTTTCAGATGATCAGACAGGCTGTTGACTTCGCCCTCCTAATATTTTGGAAACGACCCAGACAACTTTGTTTGTGCCATAGGTGTTTTTTTTTAATGTTGAACTTTCACTGCAGTGCTGAAAATACACACAGAGACAAGCTTATCAGTTAGCTATGATCAAACATCAAGTAGTGTCCAGAGATTCATGATGTGTTTCTGGAAACTTCATATATATATATATATTTGTTGCACTAACTTTCTCCTGCTCTTTGATGTCACCTCTGCCAACCTCACTGGACAAACTGTTGATTCTATTTTTTTCCATTATCATATTTTTGACTTCATATTAACAATTAATTTGAAAAGATTGGTCAATGAGACGATACGATATATCATCAGACAAAATGTCAAGATTCTATGCTGTATCCATTTTTTTCTCCCGCCCCTATTAAAAAAAGCTATCAGCCTATTTAGCCTCCTCTCAGCAAAGTGTTTATGTTTGTACGTTTTAGCAACTTTACCAATTAATAAGGCTGTCACAAAATATTGGTATTGATATGATAATTATTGGCCTGTCAAAAAAAATTGAAATATTGATATTGTGAGAATAAGCATACAGTTCATAGTGGTAGTCCTTTGAGTTGCTGCATGTTTAAGGATAGCAGACTGCTTGCATAGCTAGCAGTATCAGCTCTCTCTGAGATGATTAAAAACATGAAAAATTATATGCCAAGATTTATTGTGAATCCAAAACAAACCTCTTCAGATAACTAATCAATTGAAAACTTGTACTTCTTAATAGTTCTTCTGTTTTCATTTTGTTTGGTATGTTAAGATCTACCGGAAATAACATATTTCAAAATTCAAGCATAGGTAAATATCTGATATCATGGTAGGCCTGTGACTATAGCTCTTTAACAACTAAAGGACAGATATCTTAGATGTAAAATTATGTGTACAAAGCTAAACTGTAGATTTTGTAAAATTTTACCTATTACCAGACTTTAAAAAACTTTGTAAGTCTACATCGTGCCTGGAATACTTGACACCAGAAATCAGGCCATATTCACTCTGATGATAGAAGCGTTCAGTGTCAAATGCACAGTTATTTTTCAGTCCAGTCATTCAGTTCTGTTCTCTGTAGACATGACAGACATTTTAGGCGACTGTGGTCCTGTGAGTTCTATTTCCAGCTGAACCACTGCAGGCGATTAGGATCTCCTGCTGGTTAAGCTGTGCTACCGGTGTGGCCGCACATGGGTTACTTTGTCGGGCGTCTCCGCAGGTCCAATAGCCACTGAAGGCTGGCACACAGTGTCCTCTTCACCGCAAATACTGCCACAGGTAATGTTTTCCTGGAGTCATGCCAGGGTTTTAAGAATTTCCATGCATAGAGAAAAAAGACACAGACCTACACATGAAATACAAGCAGTCTTTTCAGCCAAGACCTGCACTGTAGAAGTGAGCAGGCAGTGTAAAGCTCTCCTGTCCTGGAACCAAAGAGGTGAGAGGATTAGAGCTCGCCACAACATTAAATGACATTGAACCTTGTTTGATTCAATGAAGTGTTGTAAAAAGCAGACGCTGACCTAAACAGGCTGTTTTTGACCCTGACATCCAATGTGTAGTTGTATTCATGTGTTTAAACGCACATTAGCGTGTGTGGTGCAGAGTGAAAGATGTCTGGCTCATTGCCATCCTGTCATGGAGTAGAGAGCTCGGACTGATCCTGAAGCAAATTTCATCATGTTTTCCCCTGACAAGGTTGACAAATTCACAGGAAAATCCCATCATGTGTAATCAATGTGCACTGCTGATGAGATTAAAGGTGAGACACTGGTTCTTTCAGAGAGGCACTTACTTAACGTCTAAAAGAAACTATAAACATGAGCAATTTTTTAGTCTAAAAAAACCCCTTTCCATTCTTGATGTGTCAACTCTTTTTGAGTTTGACTTGTGTTTCTCTCAAACATCTACTAAACTTTTCTTACTTTTTCCCTCAAATTAAAATGTCAGCTGTGTACATGTAAAAACACCCTGTTTTACTTTAATCAACCACAAATTGAACTTTTTAGAAAAACTTTTACATTTTCAAACTGAAACCTCAGCTCCAGAATCAATCACATTGGCAATCATTGTTTGACCGTACAATGCAATAAATTCCTTCAAGAATAGATGCCAACTTTCCTGTTAATTTGGTGTAACCAGTGTTTCAACCTCGTTTTCCATGCTGTGTTCACATCTACAATCTAATTGCCGTCTTGACCATTCAGAGTAACAACTACTCATCTATTTTATGCAGGTCTCGAGTCAACAGTAGAACGTAAACTACATTGAGGTTTAACTCTGGCTTAACTAAATGGTACGGGCCCAAAACAAAAACACTTTTTCCTTGCTGTTAAAATATTCTGGTCTTAAAGTTACTGTGAGGAGTTTTAGCTGGCTATGAACTTGGCTGAAAATAATACTGATGCCTCTTTGTGATCAAAACATTATTGGCACTGTAGAGCTGTTTTTGTTGTTTGTCTTTTTCCATCTCTCATTTTTGCATCTCTTTCTATTCCCTTAACAATCTCATCATGGTCTAGGGCCTAGGCAGATGGCTATCTAACATGAGTCTGGTTCTGCTTCAGGTTTCTGGAAGTTGTTTTAACTTGCTAAATGCTCTGCAAAGAACTCTTATCCTATTAGAATAATATAGGTGAATTCACAAAATAGTATGGAGAAATCAGCAACAAGTGTGTTTTTACTGACACATCCTGCATTAAAAATTATCTTGTGGAAATAATCAATTAAAAAATCAGTCATAAATACTGAAGGCTCCTTCATCTCTTCCTCTGCATGCCTCCAATATCACATGCCAGTCAATACTGAAGAATAACTGGATGTAAATGTACTTTAATCGTCTATAAATTGTCAGGATTTCATGTGAAAGAGGCTTTACAGGCCAGTTTTGTGTCTTTGATTTCACACACAAAAATGATCTCCATGCTGGAGGTCATG